TTTCTATTACTTATTAACCTCTAGGTGGCCAATCGTATTGGTATAGGGTTTTATTCTTAAATTTTAATTCAGTTATTGTTTTTATTTAGTTAAGTATTTAGCAGACGTCCCCACGTGACAAAGTGTTGAAAGCTAATCAACTGTTAATTAAACCAATATCAACTGTTTTAGCTTATATTGCAATAGCTATTAATATACATACTTAAAGGAAGGTTCTTCCTAAACTGCTACCCAGTTATTTATTTTCCTTGTACAAAGTTCATTTAAAAAAAATATAGGCATGATTAAACAGCATAAATCAGTTGTTATATATATGACAAAATAAAATGGTCTAGGAAAATAGTGATACTTATTTGTATTTCTATTATATATTTTACATATTACATTAAAATAACCGGATTTAATAGAATATAAGGAAACGGAGACTACCTACCAAAAAATAACTAAATATCATAATAGATTTTTAATAGAACTAAATTATACGAAATCCTGCTCGTATTTCAACTTCACATAAATAAGGTTCAAAATGTGTTACATTTCTTGTCTAACATAATCCCTAAATCCCCATCCTCGATGCAAAGCAGTAATGCAAGCCAATCCTGTTATATGGAATATGTGTACACAATATCGTGCATGTTATAGGGATGAGCAAATATATGATTAATATATTTTGAACTTTATTTGAAGTGAATAAAACTGTATAATATTTTCTGCTTGGAATTATTTATATGGCATGTATGAGCAGACTAATCTAAATTAAGGTATTGAATGATTTGGTTTTGAATGAAATAAATCATTTTTTCGCTTTAAGTTAATACAATAAAACAATACTTTATAAAAGTCAACTTACAAGATTGTTTTTTAGAATAATTAAATAAATAAAATTAGAATTATTTTATTCATTATGAATCAATGATACTACCCAACCTTTGTAAGTTCATAATATTATTGTTCGTCTATCCAACATGTTTTTTCTTCTTCTGAGGAATTTCTGGAAGTGTCAGATGAATTAACTATTATGTATTGTTAATATATATATGATAATGATAAATAATACGTATATTATGTAGACAGTTGTTTTTTTAGAGAAACATGTTATTAACTCCACACCTTCGTAAAATGTGACGTTAAATTTATACATTGCCCGACTGGTTGTAAACATGAAAAGATCTCCCGTTGTTAAATTAAAGCATAGAGTAAGTAAAGGTCGCAACATTTCTTTTTTATATAATTGTAATGAAAACGGTCCACCTGATGGTACGTGAGAATCATCGCCTTGCATAAATACATGAACAACACCATAGAAATCACATTCGCATGTACGACCTTGCTATTCATGCGTTGCTATTCAAGGCGTTATGTTATGTTATGTTCTAGGGGTGTGATGTTATGCTTCTGTGCCCTGTAATTTTACATGTAAAATATATCTTACATAGCCAGATGCTTGACGTTGAAATAGACTGACGACTCAAATCATGTTATACTAAGTCTACCTCGGTAAATCCTATAACTGACTGCCATAAGTAGGAAGTTCTCTATTCGTAGTATTTTATTTGTGTAGGTATTGCAACAGTATATAGATATATTATGATTATTGTATTATGGTTTGAAAATATTATTAATTCGTTATGAGAGAATAACTCTACAGACAGAGTTACTTGAAAAAGATCGGAAAAAATATTTACTATATTGTGTAAAATAAACACATACATTTGAGCTTTATAATCTAAAGCTTAAACGTATAGGCTTACTTTTACCACGACGTTGTTTGGATCGATGTGTTCCATACAATAAGTACTATGGGAGACATCGACCCAACGTTGTGAAGGCTTCAGTAGTTACGTAAAATTACTCCATGGTGCCTTAATTCAATTACACTGAAATGTGTACACTTTTTATGAATAAGGCAGTAATATACGGTTTTATGAAAGGGAACGATTACGGTCTATGGACGTTTTTACGGTTTAATACTCTTAAATAAGGTACATAGTTGAAAAAAAAAGATAAACTTGTAAATGTTGTTTAAGAAACATATTTCGCGGAAGTTTAAGATACTAATTAGATATATAAAAAAATATCTATTCATATACACCGAGACACATTTATGCAACAAAGAAATACGTGTAAGAATGTTAAAAAACACACACAACAACACATATTTTTTAATTTATACACGTAAAATGTAAACAATCACTATTAAAAAAAAATAGGTGCTACAGGGATATGAAAGGTTTGCTACTTACAATTAGTGATTGACTTATTAAACGAGCAAAACACAGATTTTCAGTAGCTTACCAAAAGAGCGAATAAGTATTACATACGCCATTATTTTGTGAATTAAATTTAGATAATAAACGGTCGATTCAATAATTTGATACCAATTAATTTTAATAAATGGTATATTCTCATTATTTTCTGAAAGTCTAATATATCTCAAGTCGTAGTAGTTTGATGACCGATTATCTTGTTTATGACTTCGAGGTTGTCTTATCGTACGTTTTATCCATACATTGATGCGTAGTTTGCAGTAAATACTGCAAATAAGTATATCAAGGTGATTTAGTACGTGCATAAATACAAAGTTACATTAAAAATCTTCGTTTGGTCTATATTGGTTATCAAAATCACACTAAGCTATTGTTGTCTTTGTTTACTACCGTTTATCACATAACAAATAATCGAAATCCCGTCACTTTTCGTGAAGTAGCATTTTATAAAGGTCAAAAAGTGCACTTAAAAGTAATATTAGAATCCTCTGTGAATATTTAATTCTTTGTTATGGCTGTTAAAATTCACATTTGACACATGTATAAATGCAAATATAAGTAGTTATATATTATATATATATACTTCTTTGTCTCCAAAATAAACAAACACACAAAAAATAAGTACCGTGAAATTAAGAACCTCCTTTGGCAGTGGGTTGAAAACATCATTCAATGTTTCCGTACCACTATGCATTGTGAGCATCAGTGCTTTCACCCAATTTATCAGTTTTATTGCTCGAACATAATTTCTCTAAGGACTTTGCCTCTATCTTGGATGTTTTAACCTAAATGGCCTCATAAATAATAAGGTAGGCAATTGATTTCACATGGAATTGAGAAATCGAGCCCTAAATATTTGCTTTCTTAATAAAATCGGTTTGTTCCACAAAAATGTGTTTCACGGAGCTAATAAGGGTCAGATGTCGAGGTGAACTTGAGAAAGTTACCCTTGGCATTTATTAGTTTGTGATTGATTAATACTATTATATTTAAGTAATTATTTATTAAGATAACTGTTATACTCAGTGATCCCCATACAGAAGTACAGTACAAATAACAATGACTTCTGTATATTACGGATATCATATAATGCACCAAATAATTGAAAATTTGAATTTGAAAATGTTTAACTTCAAGCTTCGTTTTAACTTTCTTGATTATTTTACGCATGAAAAATTTAAGTTTTTATGTGCGTTCCATTTATTGTTAACATAATATATATTATACATTGGATAATATGAATGATGGAATTGGAATAATGTTGAATGATGATGAATCAATCAGTCAGAAATTGTTCAGTTAGCGCGGTGTTCCCGGATTTTACTTTCATCATAACAAAAACCTTAATATCATTAATATTAGTATCAATAAATCCCAATCAATCTTTGAATTATTTAAGCAATCTCTTAATTCCGTTATTTCCTCCAAAACTAGTATGAATACTTTACTTTTTCTATTCATACGATTTCGTGAACTAAAAGTCAGATAGATCGACGTTCGCAGAGGCGTGAGCGGGTAGTAAGAATCACAATAATAGTGTAATAGAAATATCAAAATGGTGTGAATTCTCATTATGTCACAGAACATAACGTTACGACGTGTTATACAATAACATAACAGAACAAAGGTTGCACTTGTGCAGCTTCCCATGCGAATCCGCCACACATTGTCCGTTTTCTTGTTATGACGCGGTAACACCTCAGTAGTAATACTATTATTATTGTTTTAATAATATTGCGAACTTTCTGATTAGATTGTGTTATTTTAAACATACCGATGTACTACAGTTTATACAAGTTTATATATTTTATACTTAATTCATTTATTAATTTATTTTATGGAGGAAAACAGCTAGACAGTACCTAGAGTAGATTAATCGCATAAAAGTTTTCTTCCAGCGTGATTGTAAATAGGCAAGGTTAAGAGGAAATAGTAGTCGCTATATAAAATGTTGAAAGCAAAAGAGTTACTGCTAATGAATATATTTAATGAAATATATCATAAATTAATGATTTTTAATACCATGAAATAAGTAAGTAGGTAATACCTATGTAAATTGTGTATACATAAGAATATATCAATAATTTGAAGTATACACTTGTGTACTTAGGTACTTTATAAACATATAGCCGGATCTACAAAGGTATACTGGATTTTTCTGACATGCTAAATATCTATACAAAATCAATGCCGCGACTTGTTCATACTTCATTGTTTATATTGTTTCTCACGGAAGTTAACATTCCCATCAGTGATTATTATTGAATCCATGCAATTATATAGTTACAGATTAATGTATTTATACTTGCATAATTTTGCAATAGATAAGGATAAAAAGAAAATATCCAGTTGTTTTAATTAAGTGTATTACAATAGTTGCCCTATACGCACATACGCAGAATATTACTTATTGTGCCATTGATTTGATTTTCAATTGTATTGCCCCAAAATTCATTCCGTTTGATTTTAAGTTTGCCATAAGGGCTTTATGACTGCCCGTGGGGAGAAGATTGTTAGTTAAGAGAACTAACGACTAGATCCATGCTAACAATGTATCATGTCGGGTCAATATCCATGAGTTTGTAAATTAGTCAATTCCTTGTGACTCTGATATTAACTGATATAACTAATTTTATCATTATACTGTAGCATCAAATATATATATTTGATTGGCACACCCTCATTATCCAATGAAAATACTGTATGACTAACAATATAATAAATTGTTAACAGATACAATGGAGCACTGCCGTCAGGCGAGCGTGGTCGACGGCGCAGCAAGTTCGTGCTGTACCGACGGCCGGTCGCCAATGGCGTACGACGTTCAAAGCACTATGTAGTGAAGACACCACACAGTAGCAAGGCTATCCTCGATGCTAGCCAGCACTCTATCTCGTACACATTGAACCGCAACCAGGCCGTCATTGTGGAGTACACGGAGGATCCCGACACAGATATGTTCCAGGTAAGATTATATTAAGTAGTTACAATTGTGTACAAATCCTCTGGAAATAATACTAATAATACGACAGGCGACAGTGGGCTCTTCCTAGCAATGTTGGATTGACTGAAATATGTACCTATACCTAGTAAAATGAAGGCATGTCAAGTGTTGCTTTTACGACGCGACGATGCCGCCAGTTCACAGGCCCATATGAAATAGGAGTCATTATACAATATTTTACTATTATAAACTTCTAATGCATTTCCCATTAACATATATGTTCATACTACAACATTCAATTATGTATAATTCACACTTTCATTATTTTGACATTATGGAACATTAGTTGTCTACAACAGTCAGAATCACTCGATCTCCCTTAGTTGTATCCAACAATCATCGTACTTAATTTATTGAGTTGATGGGTTATTTGACCTAACTTCATGAAACACCCTATCATACTCCACTACCTCCGCTAGCTTATACTACTAGCTTAGGCGCGTATATCATTCCATCCATATGGGCGAACCATTAAAAAAAATAAACCTACGTGACAATACTCATGGTACCAACAGGATTTATTCTCGCAGTTGTCCGGCAACTTTGTAGGTATGGAAATATGGGTTTTCCAAGTCGCTTGTGACGTTATGACTGGTCGTTAGATATCCGTTTTAATAATGCGAAGTTTCTGAATTATATAATTTTAATAAATGTTACGCATATTTTAGAGGGCCACATATTTAAGGGGATCTTTGTTTTGATAATATCGTTATCGGAAACAATGTGTTGCTTGCGACATTTTAAGATAGTGGGAATCTTTCCATACCTTTGAAATTATATCACCGAGTTCTTCTCTTTGAACATGTTTATCAGACGGTAGATGTTTGCTCGCACTACAAAACATTTAAACAATGTAGCAATAACAAATGTTCAAATATTTTAAAATATAAAATTGGTATAAAGTATATGCAGGAACTACACTCTCTTCAATATAATTGTATTATTAACATTTATTTTTGCTTTGGTATTCGATTTTCATATTTCTGTCACGTTAGATAAGCTTAGTTAGATTAGGCAATAGTGACAAAATTTTATTTGTATGTAGCGTCTTTGCGATGTAAATATTTATATTAGTTTTTTTACGAGAAAACTGAAAGTGATAAACAAGTTGACGACCTACTAGGTACTAGAGATGAATAACACCAATGTGAATATACAATGTATGTTCATGATGCGTTGTTATCTTTATGGTGTAATGAGTCTAGTATCTGAGATAAATTTCTGTTGTTATACATGCTACACACACTCTATACCAAAACGTGTAAATATTTTGATGCATATATATATATGACCTCTGAAATTGAAAAGTTGCAATAGGCGGATTGCGGAAGTCCTTGCCTCTTGGATACTTCTTCTTTTATAGACAGTTATATACTTTTTATTTTGCTTTATATTTATAAATATATTGTAGATATACGTTTTATTAATTTGTTTTCTTTTCGTACCGCAATTTTTAGTGCCAAGACAAAACATTGGTTTCTTGCCAAAATGCCTAGCGATCATGTGCCTTCTGATGGAATCGTCTGATATGTAGAATACGATAGTACGATTCATTGATTATTGTTACAGGACCGGATCAATTTGTTATGTCCGTTTCATATTCAGAATTAACGGTAACACAAATGTCCGCAGTGTGTTCTCTGCTTTTGATACTTGGTACATATTTGTTTATTTGCGGTGTATACAATATGGCGCGTGTTTACGCTTTGTCGTCGTCTGGTGCCGGCGTAGTCGTCCATATCTAATCGGCGCACATGGGTTAGTGCCCCCCGTAGTGAGACAATGCGTTGGTCCTGTGCCTATAACGTGGAGCATGCCAGTGACAACGACCCTAATCTATAAAAAGCAAATAAACACCTAGTCATGTAATAACAGATCATTTCCGTATTCACCGTACGTCGCAAGTAATGGTGTCGTATCAGATTTTTAGTATCGAATTCGGAAACGCGTAGGACGCGCGCTGACATGATTTATTTCTGTATGACGGGATTGCTCAAGTAGGTTAGAAAATTTACGCAAGTAAATGCATCCTGTAGTTATCGAAGATTTTGTATCTGTAATGTAAATATGTATTTACATATGTTATTTGTGTACACGTTTTTCTGAGTATCGAGTTTCAGGACATTGTTCCTTAATGAATACGCGCTTTAATTCCTATGGGGACCAAGTTCGTTGCCGCCGCGGTCGTCGCACTGCTCCACACATCCTGTTCATTCGACGCCACTTCATTGTTGCCTCTACTAACCACAAGTGCACCAATATACACATAGACGCTATCATAAACACACAAATATTTATTTATACCATTAGTACGGTAGGACGGATGCGCGCCCAACATAGTGTTCTTGTAGTCATTGTTTGCCAAATTGACGGGATTTTGTTATTATTATGTTCACGTTCCGTAACTGTGTCTGAAATAGAGTTGGCAACTGTCAAATTTTGTTGCCAAAGAAACTGTTTTTTATTGTATTTTTGACGACCATGCTGGTATAGTGTTTAACACATTGCATCATCATCTAATAGTCGTGGCTTCATTCCCTGCACGCATTATAAATATTTTGTATTAATATGTTTATTTGTTTTCTATATGTGTGGATTTACAGAAACATCTTAATTATCACATTATTAGTTATCCCAAACTTGGAGTATTTGCACCGTATACAAGTTTATTGTTAATACTTGTCGTTTGTTATACAAAATGTCATAATAATAGCAATGAAAAAAGATAATAACGTAACTGTGATGCCATCTCTTTTTAACTTTCACTGTTCTATATTTTAGTCTGCTAGGCTGATGGCAATCATGAAAGGTTCATAATTTCATACAGAAACAAATTAAATACTTACATTATACATACATTTATTACGTCTCATTATGACTGGAAAAATCCTGAAGAAAACATCAACAAATTCCGTATCACTGAAATTCGATTAGACTATAGTAGGACTCTTCTTCTTTTCGACCTGCTTAAAAAGAGTCTCTAAAAAGTAAATAAATCTTAATACATTAAATACTAATATAGTAACCCTCTTTTCATTTGAACGCTAAACCGCCAATAAACCTAAAAATGTTTTGGTTACTGACTTGTTTTATCTATTTCTTTCATGTTATTGTGTTAAAATAAGTATAAGTGACAAAAAAAAAATACCACCTAATAGTATTATTCAGGAGATTTTAGTTTTGATGTATAAAATAAAACGATTCATCTTCAAACTTGAGTTACTTGCGACTTCGTATACTATTTAGTCAAACTTTCATCCCCAAAATTTCATTTCCACCATTCCAAATATTTTTTGTTATAGTATAAAAGATGATCCGTATGATCCGTCCGCGTAAAACAATCTCTCTTCACGTCAAATTTAATTAAGATCTGTTAAGCCGTTTTGTAGCGAAAAGGTAACTAACAAATAAACACACTTTCGAAATTATAATATCAGTGTGGTTACCTTTTCTTTGTTCTTTAATACTATAAACATAAATTACTCAGTACCACAAAATAGGTATATAACTGACATAGCAGATACTTGAAATTTATTGTTCAATTTTAATATATCCAGTATTCAATTATAACTGCTATGGCCTCGACGGCTATTGACCTTAAGATCTGGGCCGGTATTTAAATATATGGGCTCTAGTAGGTATACATTGTATGTATAGCGCATCTTACTTTGATGAATGGTCCACGCCTCCGCCCTAGCCCTCGCCGGCTAACGACCCACTGACCGGCCACAATGTTAACATAAAATATATATGATTATGTTAATGACAATACAATAGTAGAATTATCTAATTTCATAGAGATAATGAATGCACACGCGGCAGAATGCTGCCGATAGTGCATGTTATTTTGAACATTATAAAAGTCATTTACATCCCTTGTATGAAATTATTAAGAATAGATTCTTTATTATTAGTATTTTTCAACTGATTTCAAAAACGAAGACGATGAAGATGGATAAAAGTATTTTGTCAATTTAGAATGAATTTTATACTATTTTTCTCAATCAATACTTTTTATACTAAATCGGATATTATTTTTTGATCAAAGTACTTATAGTTATTTACAAAATCTTAATATTTGTTAGGACGGAATGATATAAAGTAGAATTAATATTTATTAAACCATGTAAGTTGGCTATTGTTTCAAACAAATGTGTTCATACTCTCTACGAGAGTGTATAGTTGACCTAGATTACTGCATTTTGCATAAAGTGCTATTAGAATTTAAAATTGGTTTCTTCGTTTAAGAATGGACTATCTCGGTCCATTGTTCCTTGTATATAATAAAAACGAAGGACAGTTAGACAAAACATCAATTAACTTGAAAACCTTTCTATTTTATTGATTATAGATAATATAAATAATGGTAGATATATGTGCATAATTCGATATGAATAGATAAAAAATTAGTAATTTCGGATTTTCGTAACCTTTTTCATACGACTCTAAAAAGAGATGGATCTATAATTCCGCTGTATGTATAATACAAGCTTTACTTCAAACTATTCTGTTTTTAAGATAGAAGTACGGGAGATCGATATCTTTATTATGGTACGTTCTACAACCTAAAGACTCACTGTCAAGCGGAAACAACAAATCAGTACAGCGTAATTTGTAGCATACTGCAGTACAGAATGTCTCAAAAGCCGTGCTCTATTACATCTATACTGGCAGTGGCATCAAATAGAAGGATTCAATTAAACGTCATTGGAGCTAAAAGGAGTGCCTTTGAAGTCATTGTACAATTGGCTGCATCTCGAGTGGTGGATAACTGAGATGTTTTAACAATTTTAAATGGTTCACTTATTTCATGGTAGATAGTGATAACGTACAGATAGAATCAGCTATAACACAAATTACATTATATAATGATATTTGATTATTTTACTGACAACAATAATAATTATTTCAGAATTTGTCAAAGACTAATAATGGTATTCACAACAGTTGCTATGTATGTA